AACCCTAAACCCTTTTTCCTAAATCCCAAACCCCCTAAGCGCTGACAGTTCAGAACACGCTGAGCTCGCCACCACCATCCCGTAGCAGATTGTGGTGCAACTTCAACACCTCAACACCCACAAAACTTCGTGGTTTCGGGTTTGAGGGTTTACGCTTTAGTCAATTCGCCCAACGCTACCTACAAACAAGTATGGATATCTCTTGGCTTATGCTAACAGTGCTTCGTCGGGATCATAGTACCCCGTAATATAATCCCTATTGGGACATCCTTAAGACATCTCTAAGATGCAAATGCGTAACATGCTCATCGGAGACTGCACCCCTGTCCCTCCACACCCTTCTGCGTCAAGCACTTTTGGCTGAGGCTTTCTTGAAGTGGGGGTTTCCTCCTGATTATAAGGAGATCCTACAATTTGGGGTCTATATTCGGATCCCCTACTTTCGCCAACCCCCAAGTTGGTCTAAGGTCTAGAGAAATTTCGTACGCCCCGGAATTTGGGGCAGCGATAGTCGCACTTGGGTAGATGACACCTCCGGCAGCGTAAGATGCCCTCAGCATCTCGACGCCCAAGCTCCGCATCAGGGTTTAGGGTTTAGGATTTAGGGTTTAGGGTTTGAAACGCCCAGAAGCCACTTGAAGCCACCTCAATCTCCCTACCAAAGCCACCAAAAGCCCAGACCGCGAAGCCGCCCATAATTGAAGCTTGCTCCTTGGCGGCCACATGAGAACTTTGTTTGAGTTCAAGCCGCATGAATAGGAATTCTGGCGGCCACGAAGGCGCGCAACCTGGGCCCAGCAAGCCACATTCGCTTCATGTGGGATTTTGTGGGCTCCAAGGGGTGCAGTCGACTTCTAAGGGACCCAACACAATCAAGGACCTACAAAGAGCTCTGCAGTTTCGATCGAAAGCAAATGTTCCATGATCCATCGGCGACAGGCCTTACTTGCCAGTACTTTATATGTGGCTGGCGTGCCTGTTTAAGGTTGATGCCCTAAACCCTAAAGCTTTGCGGACTTCCTGGCGTCGACCCTCTAGGCGCGTGGCAGCTTCGCTGCGCCAGTAGACGTGAGCTTGTTCCTGGCTGAATGTATGAGCCGGACAAGTCTGACAGTGTGGACCCCTTTTAAGTGGTTTAGCTTGGGATGTTTTTTTTATAATTATTCTAGCAGCTCTTACTAGGATCATGGTACCCTGCACTTATTATTATTATTATTATCCCTGTGAAGGCTAAGGGGATGTGCCCCCTTATACAAACAGTTCCTTACTAGGGATTATAGTACCCTGTATTTATCATAATCCCCATTAAGGACTGCTAGTGTAAGGGGGAACATTTCAAGGAGGGCCCCTGAGGTGGTGGCTTTTGGGGCTTCCCGGTTCTCATGGTCGCATGACCCTACCCTTTCACGAGAGCAAAGGGCCAAACCAGCCCCAGCAATCGTGTATATTGAAGAAACAGAAAGAAAGAAACTCCCGCTTCTTCCCACCCCCCGCCCCCCCCCCCCCCCCCCCCCCCCCCCCCCCGACTTCATCTGAGCCAGGCAGCTCGGAGAAGTCGACCAGGCCAGCGCGCAACAACTTGATGCCGCTGCCTGGGATCGTTTGGGGTGGGGGCCTACCTAAAAATAGTACCATGGCGTAGGTTGTGCCCCAAGCAACACACATTAAAGCCGAGAACCCAAACTGACCGGCCGAAAACACATCAAAAGGCCCTCAAGCGAAAAGGCGCTGCAAGCCCTTAGTCCCTGACCGAACTTGCCCGAGTGGTGCACGAACCACAAACTCCAGTCGTCGGCTGCCTGCAGAGTGACTTTGCTAAATCTGTCTGTTCGATGTCCTCTCGACTCAGGAGATATTGAGAGCGCAGCTGTGAAACCTCCAACAACCACCGCCCAAAAAACCCTAAACCTTACACCCTATGAAGCCCTAAACACTGAACCCTAAACCCTGGCCCTGCCTCTAAGCCCCTAAACCCTGCACCCGAAACCCCACTAAGCTGGCTTTGTCCAAATAGGAGAGACAGGTTCGACGGTTGTACTGTAACCCCGCTCACTGACTGGGAAGGTCCTGGTCTGTTATGCCCAAGCCGTTCATGGCCACTTTCAGCTGCTTCTCCTCCGAGCAAGCGGGAACCAGTGGCCCTTGGAACCCCTAAAGTGGGTGAGCTGCCTGGCCATGGGCAATTGCGAGCCTCACAATGTGCGCATGGGCTCAATTTGCTTCAGCCTCTGTAGGAAGGGGGCCCTGGGGAGCTGAACCACTCCTGGGCCCTCCCTAGCAGGATGGGCTATCATACCTTATCACCCCCTGAACAAGGCCCTGTATGAGGTAAGGCCGAATAGCCCATCCTGGCAAGACCCCCAACATCTCTCTAAGCCTGCGAAGCTTTTCCGCCTTCGTCTTCCTTTTTCTTCCTGGGGAAGGCCAAGCCCTAAACCCTAAACCCTAAACCCTAAACCCTAAACCCTAAACCCTAAACCCTAAAACCTAAACCCTAAAACCTAAACCCTAAACCCTAAACCCTAAACCCTAAACCCTAAACCCTAAACCCTAAACCTTCGGTTTTCCTGCGCCCTCCCGTCCTTATCGAAGCTTAGCCGCGAGGCCCATATCGCCTGGCGTTGGCAGTCTTTTGCAGGCCGGTGCAGCGAGCGCGGACCCGGGGAGCCCTCTAGTCTATGCCCTTAATCTTCGGGGATAGGTGACCTTAAGTCATTAATGAACTGCATATGAAGGCTCCTTTGTATGATTTAAGGAAATAGGTGACCTTAAGTCGTATGAACTGCATATGAAGGCTCCTTTGTATGACTTAAGGAAGTAGATGTCGGTATCGGAAAGTCGCAGCCAGCATTCCAGGCTTGCAAGGCCAAAGGGGTCACTGTAAAGTTCTGGTCTACCAATTGCTTAACAACCCCCCCCCCCCAAAAAAAAAAAAGGTGAATAAATAAATAAATAATAATAATAAAGGTTCTTCCTTATAAGGAAATTTTCGGGATTATTATTTTCTCTATTTTTTGGGGTAGTTCTGGTGGGTCATCTGCATTGTGGGTCGCCTCCCGACGGGCAGCTTCTCCTCCAGGCGACGGGCAAGACGTGCCACCGGTTTAGGGTTTAGGGTTTAGGGTATCAAAGGAGCTGAAGATACCGAAGCCTTCTCTCAGACGTGTGCCAAGGGATGCGACTACAGCAAGACTAGCCCCCCCCCCCTCCCCCCATCATGAGCCGCCAGTACTCCAGCGCTCCTTGTGCCTTGCCACCTCAGTTGTGATTCGTCATGCCCTAAACCCTAAACCCTGAACCCTGAACCCTAAACCCTTCTGCCAGGTCGATGCCGGAAGTAGGGGGCTGCGTGGAGCCATCATAAACCATCCTGCTAGCTTCGTCTAAGCCCTGTCGTGCCGGGATTTGGAAATCCTATAAACCCTAAACTAAACCCCAAGCTCCTTTTCGTAACTCCCTTGGCATGGCTCTCAACCGGGCAGTCTGCTTCTGTCTGCTTAAGCCCTGCATGGGGCTGACGGGCGCTCTGGGGGAGAGTTGAGCAGGTTTCGGGATGCTCACTCGAGTGTGGGGGCCTCTGCTTTTTTTTTTAAAGTTTAGGGTTTAGGGTTCAAAAAAAAAGTCAGCTGTCACAACACCCCAGTCTTGAGAGCATCCAAGTCACTGAATGCAGATGCCTGGCGTGGGGAGCGCGGCGGGGCCAAGCAACGGAAACCGTGGCACTGCCAAAGTGTCATCCCCGAAACAAAGCTGGCTCCAAACAATGCCAACTATTGCAGTTCCAATCGCTTCCCGACCCAAGCCCCCCCCCCCCCCCTAAACCCTAAACCCTAAACCCCATAAACATAACAAAAAAGCATGAAGCCCCTCTTGCCGGATGGGCTGCCTCTTCGCGGCTGGCTTGGCCGCGGCGGTGCGACCGCAGTCCTGTGCAGCTTAAGGGAGCACTATGTACGCGCCATCAGCGCCTAGCAGGGTCGTTGAAACTAGGGGCATGCATGAGTCTATCAAGCCGCCTCATGTGCGCGCGAGCGTAGGTCATAAACAAGTTTTCCAAGTCTTCCCTGACCTTCCCCCGCCCCACCTGGCTGCGCCATGGCGGCGTTGGCCGGGTGCTCTGACCGGCACGAAAGACCCGCCTGCTAAGCCCTGCCCGCCTTTAACTGGGGAACTGCACTTGGATCTACAATGATCTACAAACAGATATGTCCCGCATATAGAACGCAGAGCTTCTGGCATAACTACGGTAGTGCTGGAGTATGCCTGGCTCCAGCCACAAATTTTATCAAAGCTGATGCAAGGCGAGCTTGGAAGAGGTGGACGCGGGGGCAGCGCTCACGCAGACTAGTGGGCCAAGTCGGTCCGCTTCCTGTCTGGCAAGCTAGTGTGGAAGCTTGTGACAGTCCAGGCTGAGTGCGTTTGCAGACATTTGGGCGACAATTGCCAGGACGTATACATGACAATTTCAAATGTGAACAGTGTGACCGATCAGCACATGTTCTGCTCTGGTACGATGGCCCACTGCAAGCGGCGGCTCAGTGTCGAGCCTCTCCTACAGGCCCGTTGGCCCTTGCACTGCCACCCTAGCGCGGGTGTTGCAAAGCTTGAGCCGTAACAAGCATGACGCAAGAACAACGGAATACCGACCCATAGCACTTGCTGCACCATGCTGCACCAGTACAGCAATACCCTGGTCATGCTTTGAGCCCAAAAGGACCACTACTCATGTGTGCCGCAGCACTCGGCAACCATAGGGCATCCTTGTAGCTCAGGAAACCTTTTGGGTGTGGCGCGGTACAGTTTTGGAGGTCTCACAAATGTGATCTACAGCACTTCGGGTTGCAGGGCCGGCTTCTTCAGATGCACTAGTTTGGCGGACTCGAATAGCGCCTGCTACGAGAAGCACTATAGCAACGATGCAACTTAACTACAAAAAAACAGATTGATACCAGTATGAAGGGCCGCATGCATTTACCTGGCGTCGCAGAAGAACCGCGCACCTGCAATGTAAACATCGCCAGCGCCCGTTGTATCCGCAATGGCCTCCAGGTGGATCGTAAAGGCAAGTGCATGTGGGCATTGCGCTCAGGGTTCGTGCACTAGCTGATTTAAAACCCAAGCCAGTCGCTTAACCCGACAATCCTGTGAATCCTGGCAGATCTTACATCAGCAGCGATGATGGGATGCCATAAAGCACATGTTGGAACCCTAAACCCTGAACTTGGGATGTTCCCCTTATACTAACAGTCCAATCGGGATTCTAGTACCCCCCGTTGTAATCCCTATCAAGGACGGGTAGTATAGTATAAGGGGGAACATCCCAACCCTAAACCCTAAACCGATGCATACAGAGATCTTTCTTTAAAGGCCACCGGGGACTGGGTAATGGGACTCGCACCTCTCACCCTCTAATACGCAGACGCCATCGTCTAATCGTCTATAACCGGTTTAGGTTTCTGATGGTCTGACTTTGGGTGCCAAGGGAATGGTACGAGAGTTTATGGTTCATATACCTTAATAGGGGCTAAACTAGTATAGAGTATATGACCCCACTTTTAGGGTTCATGTGGTCCCCAAGGTTCTGATAGTCTGATAGGCCAGCAGATGTCAGATCAACCGCGGGCAGGCCTCATCTGCCCCGAGCGGCCACGCCTCCGATCACGGCAAGCTTAGGGTTTTTTAGGGCTTCGGGTTTTCAGGGTGAGGTGGAGGTGTTGCGCCTACCCAGCTCGAAGCCTGTGATTGCAAAGTTCTCTCAGCTTTCTCGGCTTGTCCTACCTGCAACATAAGGTGCCCAAGAAGGGGGAGCAAGGGCATGTGCGCGAAAGGCTCCTTAGTTCTCAGCCCGAAGCCCAAAGCCCCTAAACGCTCGACCTCGAAGTCCCTTTACAAAAAGGGTTTAGGGTCTATTGTCTTTTTTTCTTGGTTGGGGGGGTGGGTGAAGGCATTGGAAGGGAGATGGCAACCCTGCACTCTCGAAGCTTCGGTTTTTAAGAGCTTAGGGACGGTTAGGGTTTTCGGGTTTCCGTGCTTCGAAGTTTTTGTTTTTGGGCGGGGGGGGGGGGGGGGGGAGTGTCTTTTTCGTTCTCCTTAAGCTGGGGCGCTCGGCCTTGAAAACCCAAGCCCTTCCAAGAGACTTCGCCCCCCCCCCCCCCCCCGCCCCTGAGAACATCCCAAACCCCAAACCCTGAATCACCCCTCGCGGAAGTCCATCAGAAACCGAACATCAGAAACCTGACGAACGCACACGAACGCATCCCAGCACTCGAGCAAGTCGCATCGCAGGCCAGGGTCAGGAAGCCGTCGAGGGAGCCAGCACAGCAGACCTATGTGAAGTAGGGTATATATTTCTTGTACCCCCGAAAGGACACCAGGAATACACACTCACCAATTGTAAAAGGAACCTTATATACACTCACAAATAACAGAAATACAAACCCTGCTTCTGTTAGAGTCTTGAGCCTTTGGGGCAGTTCAAGGCTTCTACGGGCATCCCATGATGAGTGGTCACACATTCCCTGTTCCGTTGCCGCACTCGTTTTGCAACTAACATGTCTCCCCAACGACACCTGGACCTGAATATGGGCACGAAAGTCTTCTTGGGACCCTCTTCAAGGCCACACAAGCCAGATGTCCGTGCTGAATCTGAAGACCCCGCGGGCTCAAAGCCTCCTTGATGCCTGAACCTGCAAACTTGAACGAAGTTGAGGCATCTAAAGGAACAGGAACTCTGCTCCCATACAGGCTCCCTGAGCATTACGAAAGCCCAACATCTCCAGCTTGCGAGTCAAAGCCGGACACCCACCAAGCCTCCAAACTAAGTACCAGAATTCCAAAAACACCCTAAGTACGCGAATACCCTTAACAATAATACCTACACTCTTTAAACATACGCAATAAACTAAATACGTTCAATCAACAAAACAACCCTTAACACCCTAAACCCTAACCTTACGGACCAAAGGAACCCTAAAAGAGATTACTGATTCACATACCCTAAGAGAGATGATAGCAGTACGGGGTATATGACCCCAATTTGAGGGTTCATTTGGTCCCCAAGGAAAGGCTCGTCGGGTGTAGACCCTAAACCTCAACCCTAAACCCTAAACCCTAAACCCTAAACCCTAAACCCTAAACCGCTCGGCTCCCATGCCACAGGCGCACCCAATCCCTTGAGCTCCTGGTCTTGGGGCTTCTGTTGGTGGGGGTTCAGGGTTTAGGGTTTAGGGTTTAGGGTTTAGGGGCTTCAGGGGCCTTTTCAAGGGACTAAAGGAGGGACCCTTATCAGGGACATTAGGGATTGTTTAGGGGTTATTTAGGGGCTACTTAGGTATAGCAGTAGAAGGAAAAAGTTATCATAGCAATACCTGCAACCTCTGGCAACCCCCGACCCTGAAAAGCCCTTCTTTCCAAGGCCTTAGGCCAACATTTTTCGCTCTCCCGGGCAGAGTCTATCGAGTTGGTCTTTGGTGCATCCGATTCCAGACCGACTTTACATGTCATTGTTTAGGGTAGGCGTTTACCTTGTTTCGTGCCTCTGGGGGTATGGGGCGGGGTGTAGAGCAGGTTTCTTGTGGCAGTAGGGTTTATATGTGCGGATCGCTCGCTCTTGGGGTGCAGTGGCCCATGGCCCTTCTCGGCTGAGTGGCAGGTCGTCTTGAGCAATTTGCCGCACAAGTAAATCCTGAGGAGGTTGCCCGCGAATTCTTCGGATTCATGGCTATGGGACCTACAGAAACTTAAAACCTGGAAATCCCAATTGGCCCTGTGAGGGCCCTGTGTCTATCCCAGGACCCTCAAACTTAAACGCTGGGACAGCATGGGTACACACTGCCAGGAAGTGGCAAGGGTTCCCCCCCCCCCCCCCGAACCTTTTCTGCATCCAGGAACCTAAACCCTAAATGAGGGTATACGAAAATAAGGGACGCCTAAGCCCTAATAAAGACCCCCAATAGTAGAATTCCCGTATAAACAAGACCCCAAAAAGGTACCCCTAATTTCGGAAACCCGCAAGTATAGTTATACATGACAAGTATGGCAGACACAGCGCCCCAGCTCGGGGCTTGGCGCTGCTGGCAAAGTGAGAGTTCATGTCTTCCCAACGGTGCACAGGTTGCCTCCTCGAGCTTCTGTACAAGCGACTGCTGCTCAAGACGGGAACAAGGCGAGCACATGCGTCGATTACCTTCATGAATCAGCAAGTGCCCATGGGAGCAATCTACATTGAACCTGGGCTCTGCTCACTAGACGTCCATGTCGTCGAGCGAAGGGTTCGGGAGATCCTTCACGTCCGACTTCTCGCCAGACCTGCTCGTTGCCGGGTGCTGATTGCTGGCGTCTTTCTGCTTGGCGGAAAGGCAAGGAAATCGTGGGGGGGGGGGGGGGGGTCGTTAAGCTTGCTTCTCATCATTGCATAATGGAATTGTGCAAAAGTAGCCGTCGACCCCACACGACGTCAGCATCGTCGGGGAACTCTTATACTTCACGCCACGTGCTCCCAGCGCTGCATCGTGATATTCATCTAAATGTTTATGAGGACATAAGGGGACACGGTATACTTTGGCGGTCACTCCCAGCGCACCTGGCTTTGTACATGGCCTCCCCGATGATCTTTTTCATGTTGTCATCACCGTCATCGTACAAGTCCTTCATCATCGACATGATGCTGTCCTTGTGGAGTTCTACTCGCAATGGATAGTGGACACATCCATCCCCAGGGCCCCAACTCCTGCATCCGCCATTACCACAAACGAGCACAAGCTTAGGATTGCAAACCTCTAGCTGGGCCGACCATCGCCAACACATCTTTAGAACCCAGGCTAGAGAAAAGGGGAATCTGTCCCCAGCAACCACATGTCAAACCCTGAACCCTTTTGCAACATGCCTCCCAGCTTCGGGTGCCTAAACCCTGAACCCTGAACCCTGAACCCTGAACCCTGAACTCTGAGCCCTAAATCCTAAACCCTAAACCCTAAACCCTAAACCCTAAACCCTAAACCCTAAACCCTAAACCCAGTCAAGGTCCCTAAGCCCCTAAGTCCCCAAGCGTCCTGGGGGTTCTCTGACTTGGAGGCCGCGGGCTTGCGCTTGCCCTTCGCAACAAGATCCACCCATGAGTCGTAGCCATACTCGCCCTTCACCTTGGGGTCGTGGTGTAGGGCTTAGGGTTTAGGGTTTAGGGTTTAGGGTTTAGGGTTTAGGGTTTAGGGTTTAGGGTTTAGGGTTTAGGGTTTAGGGTCACCACCTGCAACCCAAGCCTAGGGTTTAGGGGTTAAGGTCGGTGACCCTCGGCTCTTTAGCCTGGGGCATGCAAGCGCCCATGGCTTAAGACCCTAAACCTTAAACCCTAAACCCTAAACCTTAAACCTTAAACCCTAAACCCTAAACCCTAAACCTAAGCAGTGGAAGCCTTGCGGAGGGTGATGATCACATGGTTCTTCTTCACCTTAATGCTTGACTCCGCTGGCACGATGTCCTTTTCGAGGTTCGTGCGCACGAACCGATAGTTCCTAGGTAGGGCGAACGCATGCATCTGACTCAACACCAGTTCAATGCTTAGCCCTGCCGTGCTAGACGTGGACCACACTCACTTCTAATGCACCTGATTCTATTGCACGGCACTAGCTTTCCTGCCGATGAGGGCATCTGATCTTAAAACTCATGGATTCCCCATCTTTGCTGTCCTACCAGGCTTTGTGAAAGCCCCATAAGCAGTAAGCCCCCGGTACTGTCAACCAACTGCAATCATGATCGATACCGACCTCACAGCAGCTCCGAGCGCGTTCACAAGACATCTACTCAGCTCGGCGTCTTTCCATCCAAGCCTACGACTTTGAGGTCGAATGCATCCTGGCACTCGGGAATTGGGCTGCCCTAAACCCTAAGCCCTATGCCCTAAACCCTAACCCTAAACCCTAAACCCTAAACCCTAAACCCTTACGGGCCCTTCGGGTTTGAGTGCCGGGGGTTCTTCCGCTACTGGAGTTTCCAAGTCGAGGGTGATGGTGGAACCTTTCCGCTTTGTAGACGCACAGAAGCAGCTAGAGTCGACGTCGGCGCAGGCGCAGGTCTCACTTGCACTGGAATTCTGAATTCTGGGCGAGCCAAGGATTATGAAGTTGTGGGTGGCTTTGAGGAGGGCGCAATCACTTTTGCAAATACTTCCAAGACAGCACATGTTCTTTCACGCAACGTCAAGAAGTCTGAAGCAATCTCCCGGCCTCCTTGAAATCGCAGGTGACGCTGTCGGCTGAGAGGCCCTCGACACCCTTGAGCCTCCGTTCCCGAGGCTTAGGTGAGCTTCGAGATCGGGGCTAATTTGTTGCCCTGCGTGTTACTTCGAATCCCAAACCCCTGTAAACCTGAAAAAGCCTCATGAGCCCCACAATAAGCATGATCTGGGTAAGCCCATTTAAAACCCCTTTAGTACATAGGGCCCCTTGTAATCCCAACTAAGGACAATCCCAAAGGCCAAACTAGTTATGGGCTGGCAATTGCTTTTGCTCTGCGCCTTTACAATTCTGCCTTGACTTTCGGCTTCTGCTTCGGAGAGGTATCTCCCGGAGCCCTGACCTCTCATCCGGTTCTTTGCCATTCCCTCTGCCCTCAAATCTTTTCGCACATGGCCTCAGGTCTATGCTGATGTCTGGCTTGTTATAGCCACCCAAGTCCTGACAAGCATTGCTGATGTGCCCCACCCACCAGCCTCCATACAAGTCTCCCCGGATTCCCCACGCGAACGGGAACCCTAAACCCTAAATCCCTGACAAGCGCTTAACACAACACTTCTCCCCCCCCGCTGCTCAAACACGGGTCTTCGGCACCCCCCCCCCCCCCCCCCCCCCCCCCTCAGCACCCTGGCAGCTCTCAGCATCCTACCCTTTTTTGAGCACGGACTGAGGGGCATGCCGGCAGCTCAGGGGACATGTGTTGACGCTATGCATCACAGATCCACTTCCGAGCACAAACTAGAAGACTAACGACACGCACACCAATTCCGGTCAGGTGTTGTCTGCACATTTTCCAAGTGACTGGAGGCGTTGCCGCCTGCGACGACTCCTGTCCTCAACCTTTTTGGCATAAGCCCGTGCCTGCACCTCTTCAAGGGTCATGTGCGGCAACCATGGCATCACAACCGACGACGACACATCACTGCTTGCCTCTGCTGATGACTCGCATCTGGACATAATCCGCGTTGATATGGGTTCGCCAACGGAATGGCTGAGTTGGGCCACCTGTGCGCTCAAGTTCTCAACATGCTTCTTCATGTCGTCCATGATGAGCTCAAACTGCGGCCTGGAGATGACCTCTACCTCGGTTTGCGTGGCGCTTTCCCAACAGTCCAGCTCTCCATGCGCCTGCACAAAGCAGCCCTCGTTGTCTGGATTGCCCTTGTCAGTGAGAGCACCGCTTCTGAGAGCACTGCTGTCGACATCAACTACAGTCGAAGTCGGCATCTTTGACTGGGTCTGAATGGAAGGACCACACCCTTGGCTTGGAGCATCGTCAACAAGCACTGTGGAGATGCTTTCACTCATCATGTCACTGAAGCCCAATGCCGAGTAGAGACTGATTGGTTTTGTGATGCGGACTGTGACATTGGTTGTCTTTGTCAAAGAGTACAAGCCATGCCAGAGGTGGCCAGCAACATCAATCTCCTTCTGTCTCTGTGCTAATCTCAGAGTATACCCAATGCAAGCAACGAGTTTTCTGTCTGCCATGGCACAAGTGAGGCAAGAAATTCTACGAATTGTCAAGCATTACCCTTTTGGGTCTCGTAGCCAAACTTGAGCTATGCTGATGTCTGGCTTGTTATAGCCACCCAAGTCCTGACAAGCATTGCTGATGTGCCCCACCCACCAGCCTCCATACAAGTCTCCCCGGATTCCCCACGCGAACGGGAACCCTAAACCCTAAATCCCTGACAAGCGCTTAACACAACACTTCTCCCCCCCCCTGCTCAAACACGGGTCTTCGGCACCCCCCCCCCCCCCCCCCTCAGCACCCTGGCAGCTCTCAGCATCCTACCCTTTTTTGAGCACGGACTGAGGGGCATGCCGGCAGCTCAGGGGACATGTGTTGACGCTATGCATCACAGATCCACTTCCGAGCACAAACTAGAAGACTAACGACACGCACACCAATTCCGGTCAGGTGTTGTCTGCACATTTTCCAAGTGAC